AAATTAGGATAAACATTAAAATATACTGGACCATGAACCAGACTAGATTGTATAATACCCATTAGAGATTGTTTCCAATTTCTATTACGAGCATCTCTTAATACTGCTAAAAATGATTCTGGTAAACCTTGTAAAGTTAAGGGTTTAAAAGCAATTTGAATTAATCCTATATGAAGGTAATTATATTTTTCTTGATATCTGATAATATCTGCTTGATTTAATAATTTAATAATCATTTCATTTTCCTGCATAGAAAGATTTTCTTCAGTAGTTTTAACGGACTGAACAAAACCTAATTCTTCAAAAGTACCTAATTCATATAAGATTTTAGGTTGTATTTTTGGAATTGTCTATTTGTTTAAGAGATCTAAATTCTTTGGAATTTCATATTCTTCAATAAGACTATTTTTAACATTATTTTTAGTTTTCTTATGAAAAACTTGAAATAAATTCATGAATGTAGAAAGTGTTAAACAATCTTTAGAAGTCAAAGAACAAATATACATGGCTCTGATACCATACAAGGGGCTTCACACTCCTTTTTCTGATTAAACCACATATTAATCGAGTCATGAGGTTTTCAAATCCAACAATAATCTGTAAACAAAATGATACTAGTCCGAGTCAATGACTTAACGGCCTTAAAACGCCTTCACATGGCTAAAATGGCCTGATGCACGACTTATGGACATGAATCATCATGTTTTCAGATTATTGAGGTTATCTCAGACTTTGATTAACTCATGATTTAACCAGTATAGTAGCCAGGACTATATATATTTGTCTTCTTCATCCAAAGATTATTTAACACAGAGATTTAGCCTGTCATTTAGGCTAAATACCTTTTAATATACTAAATATAAAACAAAGTAAAGAAAGAATACTTACAAAGAAAGAAGAGAAGATCGTATGCTGAAAGCTTTATATATTAAACACTCAAAATATTACAAAGAAAGTTTTTACAATGAGAGAGGATGGCTAGAAAACTCTTACCTAAAACTAAACTACTAAGGCCTTTATATAGACCCCGACTTCAAACTAGAATCAAATTCAATCTGATATAAGATAAGAGAGAGGTGAATTATTGCACCTCAATAATTACAAAAATACAAAAACTTTAAAAAAGTTGGCATAATTGATGGGGTCCATCACATTATTAAGAGTGGTGCAAAAGTCTTCATCTGGGACCCACTGTCACATGATTATGTCTTGGTTCCAGAGCATTCTCTAGTCTTCTGAGGCTTCATTATGGAAGTCTTGATTACTGAGAAGATATCATCAATAGATAAATCTTCTTCATTTGGATCTTGAGATTCACCGGCTAAATATTGGAATCTATTTTCTCCTTCAACAGACATACTTGAAGCGGCAGAATTGGGTCTTGATTGAACTTTTTGATCTAAATATTGATGCAGATCTTTTTGAACTAGATTCAAATATTCTTCAAGAATTTCATCATGAGATAACTCCTTGCCAGTTTTCTTCATTTGATCCATAATTTGTGTCATTGGACTAATAGAAGAGGTTGACATAAAATGTCCTTGAGCTTCTTTAAATCTTTTCTGCTCTTGATAAGAAATAATTTTCTGATGAATATGATTCACTGTATCTTCAGAATTTAGAACACCCTCTTTGTCTTTCTTCATCATTTTGGACCAGAATTTTGTCAGATATAATCTTTTCAACATAAGAAATTTTTCTGGAGTATAATCCACTTTTGGAATCCATTTAAATATCCATGGAATAGAAAACTCAATAAAGAAATGCATAGAGGATATAACCTCAAATGATACATAATTGCGACTTTTATCTTCCATTAATTTGGAAGAAACTTCAAACCAATCGGTATATAAACCTTTATATAATTCTGGCAGGATTGCGATATTAGGACCATATGAGATCCACCATCGTAGAAACCAATGAGGTATGGTCTGTTTATAAACTTGATCACATACCTTTATAAACCATGAATGAGTTTTCTGGGGATTTTCATATAAGAAAATCTTATTGAAAGCTTCAATATAATCCCAGAAAGTATATTTAATCATAATCTTTGATTCAGGATGAAAATATTCTTTCTCCTTCAAAGTAGATATACCCCATTCTTCAGCAGTTATTAACCGCTTAATAATAATCTTACTAAAGTTATAAACTTTAGTATTAGACCCAGTAAAATGAGATATTTCACATGTCTGTGTTGCTATTAACAATTGCTCAATTATTGAGGTGCAATAATTCACCTCTCTCTTATCTGATATCAGATTGAATTATAAAAGTAATAAAATTAAATTAGAATTTATTGAAAAACCACAATTATCATGGTTAAAAGAAATCGAAACAATGATTAATTTAAAACAAAATCAATTAAATTATATAAAAGAAGAAAAATTAATATTAACAATTGAAGAACMATTAAATAATTCRAAATTACAGGATAAAATAAAACTATTACAAAATCAATTTACTTTAAATATATGTGCTGATCATCCTAATGCTTTCTGGGAAAGAAAACAACATATTATTTCTCTTCCTTATGAAGATGATTTTAATGAGAAAAATATTCCTACTAAAGCTAGGCCATGTCAAATGAACAAAGAATATTTAGATTTATGTAAAAAAGAAATTATTTCTTTATTAGACAAGAAATTAATCAGACCTTCTAAATCACCATGGTCTTGTACAGCCTTTTATGTTAATAAACATGCTGAAAAAGAAAGAGGTGTACCTAGATTGGTAATTAATTATAAACCTTTAAATAAAGTTCTTAAATGGATTAGGTATCCCATTCCTAATAAAAAAGATTTATTAGATCGTTTACATGAAGCAAATATTTTTTCCAAATTTGATTTAAAGTCTGGATATTGGCAAATTCAGATAAATGAATCTGATCGTTATAAAACTGCATTTAATGTTCCATTTGGTCAATATGAATGGAATGTTATGCCATTTGGACTTAAAAATGCTCCTTCTGAATTTCAAAAAATTATGAATGATATTTTCTATTCCTTTAGTAATTTTATTATTGTCTATATAGATGATATTTTAATCTTTTCAAAAGATATTGAAACCCATTTTAAACATTTATATTTGTTTGAGAAAATTATTATAAAAAATGGTCTAGTTATATCTAAACCAAAAATGTTATTATTTCAAACTAAGATTAGATTCCTTGGTCATAATATTGGACAAGGAAATATTATTCMTATTCAAAGAAGTATAGATTTTTCTAATAAATTTCCTGATGAAATTACTGATAAAAATCAACTACAAAGATTTTTGGGTAGTGTTAATTATGTGGCACCATTTTATAAAGATTTGTATAAAGAGACTACAATCTTATATGAAAGATTAAAAAATAATCCTAAACCATGGACTGAACAACATACTAAAGCTGTTCGGATAATTAAAGAAAAAATAAAATCTTTACCTTGTTTATTTCTAGCCAATCCTAATTGGGATAAATTTATTGAAACTGATGCATCTGATTGGGGTTATGGTGGTATTTTAAGACAAAYCCATCCTGAATCAGGTAAAATATATATTATTCGYTTTTGTTCAGGAAAATGGAATAATGCTCAGAAAAATTATTCTACAACTGCTAAAGAAATTCTTGCAATTGTTAAATGTGTTTTAAAATTTCAAGATGATTTATATAATCAGCAGTTTACAATTATTACTGATTGTCCAATAATAATAATTATTATTATTATAATCATAATAATAATAATAATCATAATAATAATAATAATAATAATAATAATCATATTAATAATAATAATAATAATAATAATAATAATAATAATAATAATAATAATAATAATAGTAATTAATCCTAGCCTTCATAAGGTCAAGATCGGATTTGAGTGGTCAATAATTATGGTTGACTGGTCCAAAATTACGGCTAAACGAAAGATAGAGAGGATAACTTTGTAACTTTTACGAATATGCGGCAAACGAGCTCATATATGAACTTATGTGATTCACATACGAACTATATGTTCATATGTGAACTTGTGTATTTCACATATGAATTATTTTAAATGATTCGCATATGAACTATTTAACTGATTCACGTATAAACCTGTGTATTTCACATATGAACTAATTAACTTATTAATATATAGTTCACATGTGAACTGATTAACAAGTTCACATATGAACATAGTTCATATGTATGTCACACGGGTTCACATATGAACTCGTTTGTCGCCTATTTGTAAAAAAAAATATGAAATTACTCCACTATCTTGGCATATCAATACGGGGAATTATCTGATATTTCATTGTCAAAATCGCAAATGTTAACCAAATTAAAAGCAAAGATAATTTCTTTATTTTTTAAATATTTACCACTTAAAATAAAATAAGCATAAACACCCCTTTTTAAAAACTACACCAAGGGCCGTATTCCTTTACACGTGACAAGCTTTGCATATTTGGCACCCCTCTAGAACCCAACTCTTTTTTGTCTCCTCCATATATACCCAATCGCCATCTCCAACATCTGATCATTCATTCCTACCGTAATCCAAAATCTCTCCATTTCAACTGACCGTACACACTTGTGCATACACACATAGCATACGTCCACAAAGCCATCATAGTATCATACGTATATAGATATTACAACTCTGCAAAAAAAGAACCAAGAAAACACATATACATATAACGATCTATACGTATAGGAATTTTCTTTTCAAGCTACTTAAGGTTTCCACGTCCCAAAATAAGGTATGATGGTCCAACGGACGACCTTCTTAGATAGCTGTTTTCAATGTGTTATATGATATCGATTCTTGTTCTTTAGTTTTTTACCCGTTAGTACGATGGGTTAGTTTGCGTACCCTGAGGCAAGAAAATCTTCAATGGCAGTGAGGAGACTCAAAGTAGCAACTTATAGGAAGGACCCAAGGCCTAGCCTTTATTTACAGTTTACGCTAAAAGTTTATATGATATGAATTTGGGTTTTTGATATGTTTTTTTTATTTGCAGGTTTAATTATGAAGCGTCTGCTTTCTGCTTGCAAAGAGATAACTGTTCCATCGATATCCATGAGTTTTCCTGGTCGAATCAATATGGAGTCGTTTCTGCCACGAAACCGTAAAGATAAGGTGGTGATAGTCATGGGAGCAACTGGAACCGGAAAATCAAGGCTTTCAATTGATCTTGCCACCAAATTCCCAGCAGAAATCATTAACTCGGACAAGATGCAGGTTTATAAAGGACTTGACATCGCCACCAACAAAGTCACCGACGATGAGTGTCATGGGATTGCCCACCACCTTCTCGGCTTTGTTGATCCTAATGTCGATTTCACTGCAGACGATTTCAGACATGAAGCATCGCTGGTCGTAGAATCCATTGTCGCCAATGACAGGATTCCGATTATAGTGGGTGGGTCAAACTCATTTATAAAGGCTCTAGTTCACAATAACATTGAGTTCCAATCAAGGTATTGCTGTTGCTTTTTGTGGGTTCATGTCTCCTTGCCAGTTCTACAGTCATTTGTGTCGAAACGTGTGGACCGGATGGTGCAGTCCGGTCTAGTTGATGAGATTCAAAGATTTTACAACCCGAAATTAACCAACAGCAAAATCGGGCTTAGGCGTGCAATTGGTGTTCCAGAATTGGATCATTTCTTCAAGAATGAAAACTCCGAAAACCTCAAAGAAGCAATCAATAAGATTAAGGCTAATACTTGCAAATTGGCGTCACGCCAGTTGCAAAATATTCTAAGTCTGCAGACCCAAATGGAGTGGGATTTGCATCACCTTGATGCCACCGAAGTTTTCCTTAAACATGGGTTCGAAGCTGATGAAGCTTGGGAGCGACTTGTGGCGCGACCAAGTGGTCTGATAGTTCGCGACTTTCTCTATGAAGAAAGAGACTTCCCCAAGATCATGAACACAAATTCGGTCATCACACCTCCTTCAATGACCACCGCCGTGAATGCCATCGCCGCCGTGGCACGCTAGGGTGTGTTGTGGTGGCCCACACTACTTTATTTTAGTATAAGATGAGTGGTGGGGCACACACAGAGAATGAGAATATATTTAACTCAAGAAAGATAAGAAGTGATATTTGTAATTAAAAAAAAAAGAAAAAACATATCATCGAGCTTGGATCAAAGGTATGATTCCGGCAGGTGGCCATGAAAATTGTTAGTTTTTCAGTTTACACTGAATTTTGGAGAATCCACTCTTTTGGGAAAATCATAGGGTGTACATGCGAGTTAGTTAAATACTTAAATATCATATTCTATAATTTTTTTTAAAATAAATTTTTAAAAAAAATTACATTCAGATATTTTATTATAAATTATGTTATTATAATGTTCTCTAATTTATTATCTCTATACACTTTTTGAAAAACTATTTATAAAAAAGTAATAATTCAATCTCATTGATGGAATTGAATAAAATAATCATTTATCTCTCACAATATCAAGTTTTAAACAATTGCTCTATGTTTAGAGTTCTCTTATGATTCCTTGCTTTAGAGAACAATATAGCAAAATTACTGGAGCATTTTATGAAAACAAAAACTCATTTTTTTTACTATATAAAAAAACAACTTTTATCTGGTTGAAGGCAACGATTGTCGTTCTCCAGGAGGTGTATATTTTTTAAAGATATACATCTTCAACCTCACCCCACCAACTTTTTCCTATCATCGTTCCATCACCTGATATCGCCGGCCACCACATCTTCAACTTCACCCCACCAACTTTTTCCTATCATCGNTGATATCGCCGGCCACCACATCTTCAACTTCACCCCACCAACTTTTTCCTATCATCGTTCCATCACCTGATATCGCCGGCCACCACATCTTCAACCTCACCCCACCAACTTTTTTTGGTTCCCAACGTGACCTTCGGCGATCCAACAACAAGGACATACCATCCATCACCTTTTCTTCAACCTGGTYCCCAATAGCTACGATGACCCARCAAMTACGACCACAACGACTACCTCATCACAGCATTGACTTCATTACCARATCTAAGCACCACATGGAACTAAGTTTTGGTGATCCAAGCACGAAGGCCTCTCTTCGCCCTTCTCCTCTTTCTCTAAATCGACACCTTGTCACCGTCGACTAAAGATCCAATCGTGTTGTCCCTAAACCCATCCCCTCTTAGCATCGTTCCTAAACAACCTTGACACTAATTCACTTCCTTACATGTTGGAACGAGGTTTTAATCCATGGCCACTGGTTCTATAAGTTCACTTCCTTTAGTCCCTGATTTTTTTTTTTTTTTGAACTAACAATTTCCATCTTCAAGGTCTGCAATTTTAGAGGTAAAATTAGATTTCGTTTTCATTTTAGTGTTCAGTTTAGGGTTTTTTTTACTTAGATTAAAGGTTTTTTATTGAAATCAAAATATCTCTGATATTTATTTATTACAATGAAATAAAAGGAAATGCAGATTACATAATATGAAAAATATCTACCTATATTGAATAGATGAAGAACAGAAAACAAGCTAGGTGAAGTAGAGAAAAAAATGATAAGAATGAGATAAAAATCAGCTTTTAGGGCTCTTTATATACATATTTTTATAAGCCAACTTTGCCCCTCCATCTTTGAAATAAATGCTCCGCTAACCCTGATGTTTCTCCAAAAGTGAGGCGCGACCCTTCTCTTATCAACCAGCAACACTTTATTAAAAAGACCATATCTACCTGTTCTGTTAACACAATAACAAATAGAGGACAAACAAGTCAAGTTAGTCAAGATTGCAATATTCATATCTTTTAACACCCGCCCTCAATCTTGACTTTTAAATAGATCAATCATTCTTAACTTTGAGCACAAATAGTTATGATGATTTATATTCGGAGCCTTCGTTAAGATGTCAGCCGATTGTTCAAAAGAAGGAATTTTAACAATTTTTAAAACACCTCTACTTATTTTTTCACGAATATAATGAACGTCAATTTCAATGTGCTTTGTGCGTTCATGAAAAACAGGATTATTTGCTATTTGAATTGCAGATTTATTGTCATAGTATAAACTAACAGGTAGAAGATCTTTTATTTCAAAATCTAATAAAATTTTAAGTATTCGAACAATTTCACAAGAAACAGATGCCATGGCTCTGTATTCAGATTCAGTGGATGAGCGAGAAACAATACTCTGTTTCTTGCTTTTCCATGAAACTAAAGAATTCCCAAGAAACAAGCAATAACCAGTAACAGAACGCCTAGTTGATAAACACTTACCCCAATCAGCATCTACAAAAGCAGAAAGTTTAAACAGATCTGACCTTGTAAAGCTTACTCCTTTTTTCTAGGGATAGTTTAAGATACCTGAGAATTCTTAGAGCTAAATTTAGATGAGATTTTCTTGGAGCATGCATAAACTGGCTCAAACAATGAACCGAAAAAGCTATATCGGGTCTAGTTGCTAGAAGATATATTAATCTACCTATTAATCGTTGATATCTTGTACAATCAGACAATAGAGGGTCCTTGGAGTCATTTGAAGTATGAATAACTTAATTTGTATCCATAGGGGTACTTGAAGGCTTACAACCTAAATAGCCAAAATCATTCAACAACTCTAAACAGTACTTCCTTTGGGTCATGCAAACACCATTAATGCAATCCAAAATTTCAATTCCTAAAAGGAATTTCAATTTACCCAAATCTTTAATCAAGAATTTACCTTTCAAGTACTCTTTAAAGCTATTAATCTTAGTCAAACTATTTCCAGTGATGACAATGTCTTCAACATATACAAGCAAAATAAGAAAAACAGAACCAATATGTTTAGTAAACAGAGAGTAATCACTTATACTCTGAATGAACCCATTATCAGTTAAACACGCAGAAAGTTTGGCATACCACTGACGAGGTGCCTGTTTTAATCCATATAAAGACTTTACTAGTTTGCACACACGAGTATCATTTGAATTATAATACCTATCTGGAAGGGTCATGTAAACATCCTCAACTAAATCACCATATAAAAAAGCATTATTCACATCCAATTGATATAACGGTCAATTAAATTGTACAGCTAAGGCAATAATACACCTGACAGTAACCATTTTTACTACAGGAGAGAAGGTCTCTTCATAGTCAAGACCCTCTCTTTGACTATATCCCTTTGCTACTAACCTAGCCTTATATCTCTCTATTTCTCCAGTAGATTTATATTTGATTTTATAAACCCATTTACAACATATAGCTTTTCTATTCTTAGGGAATTCAGTGACAAACCAAGTTCTATTCCTATGTAAAGCCTCCTTTTCATCATTCATAGCCTTAATCCAATTTTGATCAGTATAGGCCTCTTTAAAAGACTTTGGTTCAACAAATTTATTCAAATTTGAAACAAAACAGTAATTTTCCGAAGACAAGCAAGAATAGTTTACAACTCTTTCAATACCATACTTGACCTTACCTTCTACTACAAAATCATCAAATTTTCTAGGAAAAGTGCTAAATCTAGAAGACTTTCTAACAGACTAAGTTTGGGGAGTAACACCCTCAGAGATCTGACCTAAGGAAATATTATCATCATTTTCATTAACACTATCAATTGAAAGAACAACATCACGAGAATGTCTGGCAACCATTTCAGAACTGCCCAAAGGCGTCCAACTGGTAACATGCTCAAGATTGTCTTCTTGAGGAAGATCTTGATTATCTTGAGTCTCAAAGCTTCCTAGAGGCTGCTTATTGTCAGTTCCAGAGAGGCTACCAAGAGCACTACGGTCATTAGTTCTATGTTCAGATTGATCACTATTTCCATTTTCAATAGGTCCTCTAAACTCATCATTGGGATCCAAATCAAAATTGTTAGAAGAATGTGGCACAATATCAAAAAAACTGAGAATATTAACATCTTCAGATATTATCTTATCAGGATTGTCACTACTCATCTTGAATGGAAAAATGTTCTCATAAAACTTTACATCTCTAGAATAAAACACTTTCTTAGTATCAAGACTATAAAGTCTATAACCTTTCTTAGAATCAGCATACCCCAACATAACACACTCATCAGATTTAGGGGAAAATTTGTCTGTAATGTTAGGAATATGAGCAAAACAAAGGCACCCAAAGTTTCTTAGATGAGTAAGGACAGGCTGAAAACCATATATGAGATCATAAGGGGTCTTACCATTTAGGACAGATATAGGAGTTCTATTTATCAGATATATAGCAGTTAGGATACACTCATTCCACATATTAAGGGGAATTTCAACCTGAAACATTAAAGCCCTAGAAACATTTAGTAAGTGTCTATGTTTTCGTTCCACAACCCCATTTTGTTGAGGGGTATAGACACACGAAGTCTGATGAATAATCCTTTTAGACTCAAAAAAACTATTTAGTTTTTTATTAAGAAACTCGGTTCCATTATCGCTCCTACAAATTTTAACAGACTTGCCAAACTGAGTATTCAAGAGATTGTAAAAATTTTCAATGTACTCACTAACTTCATGCTTTCCTTTCAAAAGATAAAGCCAAACAACTCTAGTAAAATCATCTACAATTGTTAAGAAAAATTTGTATCCTTCTTTAGTTTGCACATGATAAGGACCCCAGACATCAAGATGTATAAGATCACCAAGACTCTTAGTTTTATGTACACTATTTCCAAATTTTTCCCGTGTATGTTTTGCCTTATGGAAAACCTCACACGGCCCACAATTCTCACTGGTGACTTTGAGTCTATCTTTCAAGACTTGAAGCACTTGATCAGCTGGGTGACCAAGGCGACTGTGCCATAATTGAGAAGACACAAAGTGAACCATACCACAATTATTAGAAGGAACAGGAGTACTAGTGTTTTGATCAAAGAAATAAAGCCCGCCATCCTGAGTACCAGTCCCCACAATACTCTTTTGTTGATAATCCTGAACATAGCATTTTGATTCATCAAATCTTATAAAGACCTTATTGTCCCTAGCTAATTTATGAACAGACAAAAGATTGACATTAAACTCCAGGACAAC